GTGGTGACCGTAGATTAAATATCACACAAATTTAATTGAAAAATCGAGATTTTTCTACCAGTCATTGATACAATAGTATTTCAATTAGACAATGGATTCCAGGGCTTAAAAAAGATAATTGAATAATTTGATTTTTTACAACCTTCATTGGTTAATGGTAAGGAATAAGATATTATAAAAGCTTTTTATGATTTCATCCATTTTTATAACGTTGATATTGGCGCATATTTTATTAAGCAACTTTTGTGTATAAAAAATTTAATAAATTTGAAAATAAATACTACAAAAAATACTAAACAATAGACAATAGCCATGTTTTTTATTGAAAATTATTTTTGAACCACCTACAGTAAAGTATTAAGTGTTCGTATTATACGAATATCTATGTCTCACGTTACCAGTCACTGTCACATCAGTCGAGTGCACATTTTTTAACCTTAAATTAATTAAAAATTGTTTAAGAAATGCATTTGGGCAAAATTGTTTATCAAATATTGCTTTGTTAAATATCGAAAAAGAACAAGCTGCTAATAACCAATATATAAACCAATTATAATTTATCAGTTTTTTGAAGCCAAAGTAATAAAAGTTAATTTACTTAATTATATTTAAAATACCATAATTTATAGAGAATATTATATATATATATAGGTACTAGATTTGTAAAATAAAATAAAACTGTTTGTGCTAATGTTTACAAGAAAAAAATGATAATATTATTATTGTTTCCTACTTCTAGGTAAAATATGTAAGTGTTACAAATACTTAAATAATTATAGCACTTACCTTCTCATCGGGGATTCAAGTCTACTTGCACCATTTGGGGTCTATCGTCTACGGACCCCTAGAAGTCTGAGATATACCCAACTACCCAAACTCAAGGAGTACTTGAACTCATCTATAATTATTGATTTTAATATTTTACTAAATTACTACAAAATTATAGATACTTTAACGAAAAATAACAATTCATAAATATTATTCATAAGCATAAAGACTTGAAACTTTTGTATAGGTATGTATGCATTGGATCTTCACATTTTTTTATAAAGAATGATGTTTTCAAAATAATTAGATACCTACCACGAGCGGCATGAACCTATTAATCATCCTACCATAGTTCATAAGTCGATATTAAGTTAAAAGTTAACAACAATTATACATTTTATGAATATTTACTAGGTATTTTAATAATTAAATATTAACTATAATAATGTTATCATAAATTCAATATTTTCAGCAAAAATTATATCACACTAGTACATCATCATTCATCATCATATAAATTACTTTAATAGCAATTAGTAATATCAAAAAACATCATAAAATATACACCTTATTTTATATTAATTGTAAATAGCTAGTAACAATATTATGACGTCAACTGAAAAATAAAATTATTATTTATTAATTTTAAAATGTATCAATACCATAAAATATTATACCTAATAATTATTAGTAAGTAAATACTATATAGTTGCCATTCAGTTGTTCAATTAGCAATCACAAAGATTAACCCAATAGAACTTAAAATTTAGATGTGGGTTAATATCTTTATTGTAAAAAATAATTAATATTAATAATTATTTATTAAAATTGAGCACTTTGCGGTGGTTATCTGATGCACGATTCTAAAGATAAATAAAATTGCCGATACGATTTCTTGATTTAGATTTAAATTATTTATAGTAGAAAATACCGATTTGGTATGACAAAATTCGTAGAAACTTAGTTTCCAAATTTTTTCAATAGTCAAATTTAATTTTTATTAAAGAAAACAGTCAATATGTAAATCACATAACACCATTTGAATATCGGGATTTATACTAACATATCAACTGTCATTAAGTTGGTAATGACTAAAATTAAGGTTTCATCAGGTACCTATAGGTAATTAAAATCTGTTATTACTTCTGTAATTAATATTTTTAAATTTAATAAAGCATACTGATTGATTTTATATGAAATGTATACAATCATATTACGATTTTGTAACGGTACTTAATATTATTATGACTTTTTTTTTATTTTAAATCTTCTAACGGAGGGGAAGGCTTTGAGGGCTGCATTGCTGCGGGTTGGACCACTGTAGGCTACAACATTGCATTTTGGTTTTAGTGCGTATCTATCAATCCACTATTATCGCTAATTTTTCTAATAGATTTTTACAGTCATTATTTTAAAATTAACTGAAAAATTAAGTTAATACAATATCTAATTGTATAGGCTCGACTTCATCAGGGAATAATGTTTACTATTTGTTTGTATTAAATTTAAATCTAGATAGATGGTTCTACTATTTTTTTTATATTTTATCACTCAGTATTTTGTAGAACAGAATTGTATTCATAAAACTATGTTTATAAGTTATAAGTTATAACCTACTTTGTAGAGAGCACACTTTCATTTAAAATCCAAATGATCATCGGACGAGTTGTTTCCAAAATAATTGGCATCTAACTATATTAGATTCATATAATAGATGTTGTTGAAGATATATTCATATTAAAATTTCTAAAAACAAAATTAAAGCGCTATTTATCGGGTCCATTAATTAAGAATCTAATCCATCCATAGACCCATTCTAATACACTAAAAAAATTCCTTAAAATCTATTTAGTAATTTAGGAGATCACTGCTCAGTAGCATACACTAGTTCAGAAGAATCATGTACGTACATAATAGAACAGTATAAGATAATACCTAGTTAGGTATTTATTATTATTATATAATATGTCTTAAATAGTCATAATGGATCCAAGTACCAACCAATAAGCACATTTTGTATATATATAGCATTGATAATAAATACTAGTAGGTAGTTATTTAATATATATAAGTACCTACTCAATGATATTCGGTATTTTTTCCAATTTACTTCTCTTGACAAAACTATTTATTTTAGTAATAAACAAAACAGTTTATTAATGAGAAAATTATAAATTACTAACAGTGGTCTTTGTGATTTGCATACTCATTTTGATAAACTTTTAATCATACAATTATTTAGCATAATTAATTCAATAATCAAACATAAACCTACAATTTATCTTTAATAGGTACTTAGTGAATAATACTATTATAAAACAGTGGCACTTAGTAAAAAAAAAGGCTAAAACCATTAGAAATCACTGACTACAATTAATAAATATTTTTGTCTTAACTAAAAATTAAAGAAAACAGATTCTTATAAAATAGTTATTTTTAATAGAAAACAAAATAATACAAATATATGTTATAACAGCCTTGTTTATCAATTTACTAATATTATTTTTAATTAAATACAATTCATTAATCCAATACATAATTCATATACTTTAAGAGGGTGTTAAACAATATTTGTTGCCTTTAATTATATATATTTATTAGATATACTTGGGCTCATATTTTCAAAAAATGGTATTTTATTTCTTGATTTTTATTTTGACTACTTAAAAAATAAGGCCAAAATCTTTATCTAATAGAAATACACAGACTTTTTAGGTTTTAAATTCTAAATAAAGCAAAGACTATTATAATGATTTTACAATAGATCTCTTACTAAATATTATTTTTTTTTTTTGTATACCTATATATGAATTATAAATATTTATGAAATATTAAAGTAGAATGATATAATTTCATGGATTTTAATAATATATGGAAATCAAAATTATTTTTAATGAAATCTTGTCTAATGTGAATTTGAAAGTAAAAACTTAAAATTTGAGGAAAGTGATACCTATCAGGAAAGCTGTAATCTAGAGAAGGGAATCTAAATAATGTAAAAAATATGACCAACAGAATATCAGAAAATGTACATGAAAACTTTTCTAGAAAATTTTAAATTGATTTTTGAATGGATTTATTTATATTGCTTTCAAATTTATAAAAAAGTTATGGACATAATATAAAGTAATTAACTCTTTAAAAAAAAAAATAATAACATACTCATGTGTCTAGTACTAACTATAGCTTCTTAAATGAAAATTTAAAAATTAAAAATAATCCAAAATAAATTCTTGAGAATAGGAATAAAAGCCCTTTAGTTCAAATCAAGTAAACAGAAATATTATGATATAGAATTTTCCTATTATATACTATCTATGAACATGGATATTTATTCAATTCAAAAACTTTAGCGATAATAATAAAAAAAAAAAATCAAGAGCTATCCATTTCATATCATATAAAAACATTTAGATCTATATCTAAAATCATGCCTACCACAAAATATCTTAAAAAAAGATTAAATGACCACTAAGATAGCTTATTGACAAATTTCTTTCTTTTACTATTCAATAAATTATAACTAAAGCGTCATGATTCATAAATATAAAATTAATTTATAATATTATATAAAAAAAAATCAAGTATACATATTAAATAAAAAAATAAAATACTTAGGTTGTTGACCAATTTTAAAATAGGTAAAAATATTTTTATTTTATTGTTCAATTAAATGAAAAACATGTATTTTGTTTTCAAACATTAAAGTTAAAATGTATAAAATATTAAAAATTTGGAACTCAATTTCAGATATATTTTTGATTTTTCAAAATAATGGTTCATTCCAAATACACTCAATACTCACACTAACAATTTTAATACACAGTAGTAAAAATTTACTCTCAAAATTGAATTTAATCTAAACAGAAGAATAATAAATTAATAGATGTAACTAAAAAAAAAAAATGAGTTGTATATCATTAAAATGTTTAAATCTAACAAATTACATTTTTGATATTAAAAAAATGCTTATAATTAGCTATGAACACATAACTGACACATGGATATTATTTTAAAAGCAATAAGAAAATATTGGCAGTGATACTGTAGTTGCTACAAAAATCAAAATCTTTGTTCTTTTTAATAATAAATGTTTTTCAATTAAAATTAAATTTGTTAGATATTTCTTGAAAATATGAAAATGATTTTATACTAAACATAATAAATCCAGTAGACTAGAAAGTAAATCTCAGTTTAATTTTCTAATATTAATATTTTATACAATAATCTTTTTTTTAATTACAAAAAATTTGTTGTATCATTAATTATTATCTCTAAATGCAATTTTGTAACATTAAACTATTTTAAATATTCAGAAATGGAAATTGATGAGGAACATCATAATCAGATAAGTATTGCTGTGAAGAATCAGGAGATAAATCTACACCATCATTTAAGCTGCATACTAAAGAAGTTTCAATAGGAGGATGAATTCCAGGAAAACATGAATTTTCTTCACATTCTATCTTATAATTTGATGCTGAGGCTACTTGAAGTACACTTTCTGCTATATCAACACTGCTTAAATCTAAGTTATCAGGATACGCCATCAACGAATATGACACAGTGTCTTCTAATCTAAGGTGATTGATATTTTTTTGTTTCAATCTTTGAGTTTCTTTTTCTTCATTCATGACCGCTGATGGAGATGAACGACTAATATCTTCCACAAAGCGTTTTATTTTAATAGATTCAGTAAATACTTGATTGTGGATGTTGATTTGATGACGTCGTAAATTGGATGCAAATTTAAATATACGTTTACAATGACACACATATTTTTTGGTTTCAGAATGATTTTTCATATGCCTTGTTAAAATGGATTTTAATTTAAAATTATTACCACATATATTACAAATAAAATTTTTTTCTTCATTGTGTATAGCAATTTGATGATCTTGCAAAGCATGTTTGCGATAAAAACAAGCACCACAATGTTCACAAACATAGTTTCTGACTTGTACATGGGAATCTTTGTGCCTTTTATAATTGTTTGCATATTGAAAACTTCTTCCACACAAATTACAAATATAATTATTGTACTGTTTAAAATGTACTTGTTTCATGTGTGATGACAAATTAAATTTATAATAAAATATCTTTGGACAATGAGCACAATAAAATGGATTATCGACTTTATTAGTAGAGTGAACTACCGTTTTCATATGGCGTTTATAATATTTTTTTTTCTCAAATGATTTTTTGCACTCGATGCATTCATAAACAATACCTTAAAACAAATATAATAATATACAATTAAAACAATAAATTTAAAAAGTTATAAAATTAAGATCATAATAAACAATTTTAAATTGGTCTTGTACTCTTGTGTATTAATAAAATAAAGACAAACTATGTCTAATAACAATCTGTTATATAATTAATTCAATTATTAAGAGAATAGCAGCACACTATTTTAAACCCACAAGCTAGTAAGCAACATTGCAGATTTGCATTCAGTACTCAGCAGAATCAATTATGAGTTGTTACTTGTTTGCTTAAATATTAAAATTTTTACTCACCATATAACTTACTTATTGGTTAAGTTAAGAACATAACCAATATAATCGCACTGCCTTTTTATTCACAATATTTAATTTTTTTGTGATATAAAGATTATTGATTATTTTTAATTTGTAATTTGTAATATTTTACTTATACAAATTTATAAATTTAAAGAAATTTAAATACTGTAAAAATATTTCCAAAGTATAAACATAGATAATGTTTTTAACATTAAATTTGATAATAGATCAACTCACTATAAAATGAAAGTTAAGTAACAACACAAAATGAATTCTTCTTCTCTTGTATGTAAATTTTCCATGTTACTTATAGATGAAGGAGAAAAAACAAATAGTTTGTCAACTTCCTTAAAGCTAATATTATTTTGAAATCTATATTATAACTATCATTAAGCATTTAGAGCTTTTAATTTTCAACTATAATAATTAATTATTAAAAATAAATAATAACGCAGAAACACATTACAATTTTTGCTTAAACTTTAATAAAATTTCATTAATATACTGTTTAGTAGGAACTTAGATATACAAATATATTATTATAAAAATGAATTCTTAATATACCTGTAGTAGACTGTTTACTTTTAGAATAGTTGTCAATCGGTGGTATTGAAATGCACAACTTCAAATGTTTGCTCAACTTTTTAGAATTTGCAAATTGTGCATTGCAATTGAAACAACAGTACGCATCATGCCTCTGTAAATGGTTATAATAAAATAATTAACTATATTTAACAAAATATAAATGTCAAAAGATAAAAATTTTACTTGTAAATGTAATTTATATTGTTGGCTTCGGGTGAATACTTCACCACACTTATGACATATGAAACCATCACCATGCTTAATTGTTTTTACATGATCAGCAAGTTCTTGTTTGCTGTCAAATGGTTGCCCACAATCAAGACATACAGTACCAGTGTTTTTGTGCACAGTTTTGTAATGCAAGTACAATGAGCGTTTTTGAACAAACGTTTTCATACAGTACTTACAATCCAATACAATTGGGTCCAATTTGGATCCATGGGCTGTAGACATATGAGAAACCAACATCTTACGGCTGTTGCAAGATAATCCACAAACACGACAAATGTTCCGCAAATGACCATCAACATGCAGATTATAGTGTCGACGATTCGTAAATGTTTTTTCACAATGATCACAACCATAATTCTCAGGCATTGTCATGAAGCACAAGTCAGACTTTTGGATAAGTAACTACTTTTATTTTATAATAATATTTACTGTTACCAAAATTAAAAAAACAAATACCTGTGGACTATGGTAGATTTTGAATTTAATATATTTTAATAGGTTTATACACTAATATAGTAATATCTAATATGTATAATAATTTTTATTTTTAAATCGAAATAAGTATTAAATATTATTTAATAATTATCTAATATCATAGGAAAATATTAAGAAATTACAATTTTGTTATTAATATTACTATAAATCCTATAATTAATGTTACTTAAAAGTACTTTGCGAACAAGAACTGTTAGTGAAATACCTAGTGAATAGTGAACACTGAACATTGAATGGCAAGAATATAATCACAGAATATATTAAATACAATTGCGCCAATTTGATAAAAAAAATTCGATATTGTGATAACTACCACTAAAGAAAAAAAATACCATGGATGTAAAATATAATATAATATAAATATTTCAATCGATATTTTATACTTCTAAATTATTCAATATCGTTTTGCCAAGATGTATATTATGCTTACACACATATAAACCTTGTGTATAGTTGTATAGCATGTAATTTAAAATTTTGTAATCCGCTCAATATAGTTTATTGTATTAGATTAAAAACTTACAGTTTACACAAGAACCGTATTGTCAATATTATCACAGGACATGGACCATTATTATGAAAACAAAAAATAATTTTTTAATTTTGTGCGTTGTGGTATTATAATGATAATAACGTTGACTATATTATCATAGAATTTACATATTATATTGTATGGATATGAATAAAATAAACACAGATAACTGATAACCGCGAGTTATCATCATAATAATAATAATATTATCTGAATCGTAATAAATATTTAATAATTTAATAATAATTAATAATCTGAGTAATCATATTTCTACACTCAATGTAGTTTCGAGTATTCGATTATTTTGTTTCATTTATTACTGTTAAATTTTTAGAGAAAGGTAAGGTATTCAATATCAATTATATTTTATTTGATACAAAAAAAATGGTATTATAAGTTTTACATACCAAGGATTTGAATTGTTTTTGTACTATCCCGCGCCAACACGGTTTGCATATTCAGTCAGTGACGAACAGACTTGTCCGAGTGACTGATTTGGTCCATGGCGCTGGCTGCCTAGTGCCTGTTGTAGTTTTGCCCACATTAAAGAAAACATGGCCACGTAAATATGACCGAAATTACTATACCTAAATACGGGCTGGTGCAAGACATCAAGCCACATTATGTGTACACGATCAAGGTGTTGTCAGCCGGCTACCAGGAGTGTGTGGAAAAACGGTATAGCGCTTTTCACGCCTTCCATAGAGAGGTATATTAACCCAATTCAACATGATTCATTGTTGTGTTATCACTACATTCAATTTTTTGTTTGTCTTATAGCTGAGAAAATCTATATCCACACCGCCATTTCCATCAAAACGCATACGATGCTCACAGCCAAAAGTCCTCGAACAAAGGAGGGCTGGTTTGGAGAGGTATTTACAAACAGTTTTCAAAATCGAAGGTGGATATAAACAGGTCATGGAATTCCTCGGGCTAAAGTATCAGCCAAGGTATGCTATTTAATTTTACCCACTTCTTCAAAAAACATAAACATAAAATAAATATCTATATATCAATATTTTTACTGTAATTTATTACATATATTACATTTTATTGTTTAGCCATAAAATAGATGTCAAGTATCAACGTCCAGTGTTTCACATGATAAGTGAACACATTCCATCTAAAAATAAACATGAAAAACGTTTATGTTTACCAGACATAATTACAGATGGTGTTCTTAAAGCTTTGTATGGTTAGTATTTAGCTCTTGAGAAATAGTGATGTATTATTTAGGACATTTAGGTATATCTTTTGTACCTATATTTTTTTATTATTTATACAGATAAACATTTAAAATCAAACTTAGTTTTAGTATTTTTGTTATATTTTACTCATACAACATTGTTTATTTTAGAAAAATAATGACCATAATTATTATTTTAATATAGTACCTACAGAAATAATAAATATATTATATTATAACACTTTTCTAGCTCTATCTATAATCCTTATAAACTCTGTAAGGTTCACTTGTCCATCTCCATCTTCATCTGCAGCGTTTAACATATTGATGATTTCCTCATCGGATACTTGTTCCCCTAGTATTTCGGCAACATTCTTTAAATTGTTAAAATCTATTTTGCCTGTATCATCTTCATCGATTAATTGAAAAGCTTTAATCATATCAATCTTAATATCTCTTTTTGGTAATACTTTACGCATTTCCTCTATGAATATTCTCTTTTTTATAAACCCTTTTTGGTCTTTTTCCATTCTAGATAATAATTGTATGTATTGATCTCGGGGCAGTTCCAATCCCAATGCCTTTATTGCAAATTTAAAATCTCTTGTGCTAATTGTCATTTGCCCATTTGTGTCCATTAAGTCAAATGCTTCATTGATTTCAATATCCTTAAAAGAATAATAAAAACAATTTTAACCAAATTAATTTCAATGGTATTTAACTTATTATAAACCTGGTTATCCATAACTCTCTTATAGCTTCTTATTTGTTTTTCAGTTTTAATCAATCGTCTTTAGATAATGTAATTATGACTGATATAAATAATGCATTTTATATTTCAATATTATGTATATAAACATTAAATTAATTATTTATGTGATATTTTATTTCTCTATGGTAACAATTATTTTTAATTTATATATTAATAAAATATATTATGTATATTAAGAAAATACCACTATACACATTTGGAAAATATGACAAAACAAAATACTTACCTAAAGTATACATTATAAATTTATAATTCTTTAAGTTGTTGAAATCACATGTTAGAAATATAAAATACTTGAATTACAAAATAGATTTTAAAACCTTTTTATCTGACCTATTATTAGTTTTAATTTATACCCTTTACCAGCTTCCCCTTTTAAAATAATCATTTTTATAATGTTTAGTACAGATATATTTTTTAAATATTCCAATGTTAAAAGTATGTCAATATCTAGTTCTATTTATTCATTCATATTATTTATTGACAATTTATATTTTAATTATCAATTACCCACAAAAATAGCAAAATTTGGAAACAGAACATTCAACCTCCATAATATATTACTAATACTAAGTATTTAATTTTTTTGTGTATTTTATTGGTAAGGAAATCATACCAACTACAACTGATAGAAGTGTAATTCAGTTTATGTAAAAGTAATAATAAATTTAATTTACTCAATAATCAAATGCAATATTTAATTTTAATAATTAACACCAAGTCTATCAATAATTACACACTTTGTTACATATACTATTACAAGGACATGCCTACTACCTAACCTTGTTGAATAAACTAAACTTAAGTTATTTCAATATTCTATGTTTACAAATTGATTGAATTGGAATTGGAACCTGAGTTACGATTCATAAGTGATACATTTTCCTCATTAATTATGGGCTCCTAATATTAAAAAATATCCATAAATCTAAGTCATTCATGGGTATCTGGATGGGCTATATGCCCATATCAACATTGGAGGTAAGTACAAATGATTAAATTTTAATGTAAATTTAAAATTAACATTGTTTAACATAATAAAAGGAAAACATTTATAGAGTAAGTATTAAACAGTTGATTCATACCCATTAACTATGTAAGTTGGTTTAATAATAAGTGCAAAATTTTCCATTATTCATGCTGCCTTTAATAGTAATACTTATTGAGTAGGTATTCAGTTTCTTCAAATAATCAAAACAAATTTTTCAGAATTATCTCTAATAAACATTATTTTGTTTGCAATTTAGTCAAACGTTTAAATACTTAAAATAATTTAAAAACTTGAGTTGTTAATTTAGTTTAGAAATACAGTGGAACCTTGATAACTTGAATTGATTAGGGCAAAAAAAAATTTGAGCCGATTCGAGTTATTGAAAATATTTTTTTTATTTAAAAATAAAGATTTTATTTTATAATTTTATTTATTTATGTATTTAATATTTACTAATAAATGTATTATGTATGTAAATATGTATATTGTATTAAAATTTAAAAAAAAGTATAAAGTAATAAATATGTATGTATATGCATAAATACATATAGATACACATAACCACGTAGGTACTGAAGTCTGAAAATAATAATAATAAATTAGGTAATAAATAATAATCATTATTCATGGATTAATATTAGGATTCTGGATTATTGTTGTATGTGTTTTTAAAACTCCACGGAAAATATAGGTATTGTTTTTAGTTACAATGGGTGAAAGGCTGTTCTTTGCAACGAACATATCTTGGCGGGCAGAAAAAATATTTCTTCAAATGACCATATTCCTGGTACAGTAATGACTAGGGCCAACAATTATATGCCCTAAAAATCTATAAAATATGCATGCAGTTATGCCTTAAAAAATACCAAAATATGCCCTTAAAATATGCTCTAAAAAAAAAATGTTATTTTATATTTTTAATTAAATGGTTTATTTTTTTTATATATTAATATATTATTCAGTATTCTATAATACAATTATTGCTAATAATTACCTAACAAAAAAGTGTGGTATTATAAATCGTTTTTCACATGTAACCTTCACCTCGCATATTTTACAAAACAATATATTCCCATCCAAAGAAAATATTTTTTCTCCAAATTCAGAGATGTAATTATTGACACGACTAGTGTTAGAAGTTTTCACTTTGGCATTTTAAAACGATCGATTTAATAACGCACCACACGTGTAAAACCACGACTAACAACTACGATAGCCGATAGGTAAGATAAAATACGTATAATGGCATACGGGCATATATTTGTTGACCCTAATGATTAGTGATTAAGATTAGATTTTTATAAATGAGTTGAATTACCCATAGGCCATAATAAAGTATACATTATATTATATGAGTGAAACAAATTAATATTTTATGATTATTGATTCCTAAATGTTTAAGATCCTAAATATGCTGCAAAAATAAACAAAATACTAAAAAATGCTCTTAAAATGCAAAAATGCTAAAATATGCAAAAATAAAATTTGTATACAGCATCGTTAGGTTATGAACCAAATTTTAATATAAGCTAGTTATTTTTTGGACCAACCAATAAAAATATGCAAATGCATATAATTGTTGTCCCTAGTAATGACATTGTAGTATGTCTTTTCGTTTACGCGGTATTTCGATTTTTATTTTAGTGTGTAGTAATGAATTTATCCTGCATGGCTGCATATGTCAGAATTGATTGCTGCTGGCTCAAGATTTACAAAAACATTAAAAGATTGTTTTTTGTGGTTTTTTGAATAACGTTAGTGACTTGAAGCATTGATAGACCAATTTCTTCTATAATAATTCCTATTTTAACTATCAGTGTTGACGGATGTAAGTTATGGACTACAATTTTGAACGGTTTATCTTTAAACGGTTGATACTTGATAGCCAATACCTGATGAGTGATTTAGTATTGTACAATGTTTTCTTTTAGAAAGTAAATTATTTTCCGATAAAATTCAGGTTGGGTAATTTGAACTTTTAAATTATTTGTTGACTATTTAAATATGAAATTTACAGAACCAATCAAATTTATAAGTTGATTACGAAAGCCAACCAAGTATTCCACGAACGGCACGACTATACATATTGGTGGTGGTAATTTTATTTTAAGCATTTTAGCAGAATGTTTATTATGTTATATGCACAAGGTTCAGTACTCAGTAGGTTGGTGGGTATTGTCATATCAGGTACGTGGAGAGTAGCGATTTGCTTTAATTAACATTTATTTATTAATTATTTATTTTTTATATTCTTGTGTATCAGATTTCGTCCGTCTCGCAGATACGGTGTTACGGCAAATTTGGAATTCATTATATTTAATCAAACGGTTGTACCAATGTACCATTATCGTGTATCAGATGAACATAATTATATAATAAATAAAAATTCACAATAAACGTTAATGGAGCGCGCACGCGTATGTGTGTGTGACCAACCAGCTGATGTTGACTGTAAAACTCGTCTGTTTTTTGCTATTTTGCTGCTGAGTGTTGAGATATAAAAAAGAAAAATGTTATAGGCCTTATAACACCGATAGATTTTGGATTCGTTTGTAACGTTAACCTTATATTACATACTTAATAATCGTTTACATTAACAATGTTTTTTGGTTTATGATTTTTCGAATATTAATATTTTAATTTTTTTTATGACTCAACTAAATAATTTTTAGTTTAATACTTTTAGTACAAAATATTTTAGCACCGGATCAAATGTGGCTCATTTATCATTGGCTGTTTTTTACTAGAACAAATGAATGATAAATGAGATGACCTAATACTTTGTTTGATGTTTTTTTTAAAAATTCATTGTAATATTATTTTGCAAGGATAGGTAGTTAATTATATTAAGCGATAAAAATGTAATTTTCTCATGGTAAATTGAACATAATACTTTTAATTAGAAAATGAAAATGAAAAAAATGTAATGTGACATAGATATAACTAATTAACCAATTTTAAACAAGATATACAATTATATTTCTTGTAAATTTAAAACATATTTACTGGAATCGTATTTGTATAGTGAGATAGATTAGTGGTGTAGTCTAAGCAATGCATTTGAAAGTTGATAATGTGTTAAATATTTAGATAATAATTTGTACACATATTTTCGCGAGTAGGAATGTAATTTTAGTTGTATACTAACATGAACGATTATTCAGACGTGACTTTGATTGTATTATTTATGAATTATTTCATTTTTTCTCACAGACGAAGTTAAATAAATAATTTAATAAAATTTACACTTAAATATCAATCATTGACTTTGGCACATATTAGTTTGTGATTATATTTAAATATTCTCAAAATTATTCAAGCTTTATATTTATTTATTTTTACATCAAAAATGTGTTATTTTTTTTCAAATAATTACAAGTTATTTAGCAATATTTATTTATATTACAGATATTTTTTGTGACTTGGGAAAGTCAATTCTCTATCACTATTTTGGTAACAAATTGATTTATTAAATTAATATAAAAGTAATTTTTTATAACTGTGCAGTAATAACCATTTTATCTTAAATAAACATAATAAAATATACTCGTTGTTAATCATTAAAATGTATGTCTTCAGATTTCAAATAAACCTATAATTTTAAATAAATCTTTTTAATTTATTTTTCTTGTAAAAATTACCAAGAACAGACATACAATTCTATTAGATTTAGTACTATGTATAGAACATTTATTGTATTCAATTATTTTATTATAACTACAAATATAAAGACCATATTGTTTTTGTTCACCATTTTATGTTAAATCTATGATTTTATTATTTGGACTGTACCTCTACAAAATAAAATCGTTTTTTATTAAGTTAGAAGTAGGGTTTCAAATCCCAGTTATTTTTGTTAAATTCTTACATCTTTTAATTGAATAATTTTTTATAAAAATTTTACGATTTTGAAAAATGTATCGGGTGATAGATCCTTTTACTTAAAATAAAATCAGTACATTGTTTATAATTGAATTTAAGAAATTAACAAAAATTATACGTAACAGATTTAATATACATATTGATATATCAATAATAATTATCATACTTTTATTTATAGATGAATAATAACCTGGAACATACATTATTTGGGCGACATCATGTCCAATCGCAGAATGTTAAACAAAAATAAAAATTATGTGAATTACTATTTATTGAATGGACTACTTGTGATGGTTTATATAATGGTAAATACAAATATAAATTGATAATTATAATTTAGAAATAGAAAAAAACATTTTAATTTTATTTAAATGTATAATATCAACATATTTGTTTAATAATACCTACTTTAAAAGTTTGTAAAAAATAATTTTAAATTTCAAATAAACATTGATAAAAAAAAAAAAATCGGTATTTTATCATATTCAACAAGTTATTTTATTCTGAATATATCTTAGTAGTTAGTATTTAAAAAAATTGTTTAACAGAATGATTTGAAACTGAAATTTATATGTAAGAAAAATTAATATATATGGTGTGAAAAGTTTAAAATTATATAAAGTATCTATATGTACATAATAAATATAATAATAAATAGAATCTTACCTCGTTCTTTAGATTATTTTGCGTTAATAATATTAGCCTCTTCAAAATTATTAATATCAAAAAAAAAAAAAAAAAAACTATTATAATTACGTATTTAAAATGTAAATTAAAAATAATAAATGGTTTTTTTCTATTAGACTTTGATGTCGGAATCACATAGTAGCACATTAGAAACGGAGTCAAATACCAGTTGTTCAGATGCAATAACATGCACTAAATGTACTATTAAAGCGCAATGTCAATGGCTTTTAAAACAACAGGAGTGTAAAAAAAAGATTTTAATACATTTTTCAAGTTTATTAGTTTCTACTACAGAGGAATGTCCACAATTTTCAGTCGATAGGAAATATCATTATAACGATTTTGTTATTAAATTGAAATATACTTTTAGAGTATCAAATGATTCATTAGGTTTCATGAATTATCTTCGGACCAGTAAAATTAATCTACAAAGATCATTAATCAGAGATAAAATTAGTTATAACGAGATAACATATGATGGTTTTATATTTTCATTTTACATGACGACATTTTTATTCAAATTAAATATTCCGTCGATCACTGAATTTATTTTTATTGAGTTCAATGACGTCATGCTGCGGTTTGACAACGTCGCCGATCGTTATGTTACATTTTATAAACATGATAGATGTGCTGACGATGAGGACAAATACTGTGCGTCTTGTGCATGGAATTACCAAGGGTGCCCGAACTACTTGAAATGGTGTTCACACGAAAACAGCTGTGAGGGTCGAAAGCAGTTGTATCTAAAGAATAACACCGAAGAAATAAATCTTTTAAAATCTTTTTTTTACCCGCAGAATAATGAAGCCTACGTGACGAGCGACTGTCCCAAAGTAAACATAATAGCGGTCGATCCGCTGTCTGGACCGCAGACTGGTGGAACGGCTATAACGATCACGGTTAGAAACCACAGGATACTTGCGGAGAACCAAACAATATTAGTGAAGGTGGCAGGGACGGAGTGTACAAGCCTCAAGACGTTAGGACCCGAGACGATCACTTGCACCACGTCACCATGGGTGAACACCACAGAAGGATCACTAACCCTCGGTCCGATCTTGGTTAAGTATTCGTCGAACCAAGGTGAATTAACGATTGAATCGTCACAGATATTTCAGTTTGACGTCCCTCCTATTTGCGGCACGCCCAGTCCTGTACTGGACACGAACCAACGACTTAGAGCCTTGGAATCGGGTGACATCACTGTACCAGTGCGTGGTGTCCATTTCGTCAAACCATGTGTTGTATCCTCCGCCCGACTCTTCGTCTTGCTACCAAACGGTACCATGCAATTCGCTTCCAATTATTGTGATATACCAGTCAACGACACGTTTATGGTCTGTCGATCGCCGATAGTAGAGAGCCGTGTCTGGATGGACGAAGACTCGCCCATTGAAGAGCTGGTGCTAAATTTCGGGCTGAATTTGATGAACTTCATCGGGAATCAATCGATTTTCGTGCAAGGGCCGTCGTATGGTTATCATGTACTCTTTGATCCGGTGCTAGTGGATTTTAATATAATAAACAGTACTGGTTCAGTAGTCTTCAACGGTCGCTACTTGAATCACTTGCCGTCCGACGTCATCTTAATACGAATTCTGAACTCATCGGAAGCGGATTGTGAATCTATATCAGATTGTTCAATTATGGCTGGTTGCGAAAATGTTGTGTTTTCACAACAAAAAATCATATGTGAACCAAACACGACTATTGCTTCAGCTGCCATCGCATCGCGCAAGATTTTGATCATGATCGGTGATTCGTTGTCGTACACCGTGTCCAATAGATTGCCACCCCCCGATCTTTCCAATTTTACCTACCTCAAACAACCGTCGACACTTTTCGGTTGGTGCCGAGCGATAATCGCCTTGTCCACGTCGCTGTTGATTGTTTGCGCGTTAATTTATTGTTTAAAAACCAAAAATCGATACGACTTACCGGAAACCGTTTGTTACCCACTGGTGGCTTCCACAGGATTATAAGAATATGGTCTACATACTGCGCTGTAGTTTTAAATCTTTAATTCATTAGTAGTGTGTTAAAAAATAATACGAGTTTTCCAATTATCTTTGAAAATGAATTTATTTTGATGAAATATGTATAAAATAGTTTTTAGAATATCTCAAATAATTTAATTGTGTTCAATTTGTTGAGGAAGCCCTTAAAAAATTACCAACAACAATGTGCACACTTTGGTCTATTATTTTAACTCGAATAATTCTTCACCAAGGAAATTTTGAATTAAATATTTTTTTTTCTTCTTAAAACATTTAAATAGTTAAAAAAACTATTCAGGGTTGGTATTATGTCCAAAAATTATAGTATGTAATCACTAATAACTAAATGAGTATTTCCAAAAACATAAGTTAAATATTAAACAAATAATATAATAAAATTATTTATTTTTTTTTATACTTTTAAAATATATTTTATCAAACAGTGCAGGCATATTTTTTTTTTAATTTGACGGTGAATGTAGAATTTAAAAGTAATATTGTATTTTAAATGCTAAATTACGATCTTGGTAAAAATAAATGTATGTGCTGTGCTAGAAAATAATAGCAAATTACCACTAGATTTTTGTTAACAATTATCATTATAATTAGTTGATAATATTGAAATTTACAAAACACTGTCTAATTAAAATATTTAAATCATATGTTCAATTAATAATCAAAAATGTTCATAATGTGATTAATTCTAAATATATGAAATACAGCTATTTAAGTTAAGTATAATTTTATAATTAAATGTAATCCAATATTCCACATACTTTTAAATGACATAAACATCGTAATACATACGTATGTGTGTATAATATTATATAATTTGTAAAAAATATTTTTCAGTATTAATATTAATTTAATAATTTTGATAATTTCTACGTATTACTTAGGTATAAGTATTTTTTGTTTTGTTTTGTTTTTTTTTTTAAAAAAAATTTTGATTATTATTTATATTTATATCATGTTATATGCATACATAATATATTTATAACTTTAAATTCACCAAATTCAACTTTGTTTAGTTTTTGGGAAATGATAATTATTGATTTTAACATGTTTAATACGTATTTATAGTAACGATGAAATACATTTTTAATTCAAGTCCAAATCTGTAGAAAATTATGTATCAATATGACAACTGATGATAGTTTATAATGTAGTAATGGTCATTAAAACCTATGTTTTCAATGCTTTTAATGGGAGTCAGTTGAAACGTCGACAATCAAAATATTGACAAGTTAAAATGCCGACGATTAAAACATCGGCAAATACAAAATGTCGACATATTTTATAACTATTTGATTTAATACTGAGGTTAGTGTTCTCCGTCAAGTTCTTCGCTAGTTACAAACTTACATTTTTCAAAAATGTGTTTTTTTCAAAATTTTGGTTTTCCTCAAAGTTTATTATCCTGTTAACTAAGGTATCATGTGTAATATAATAACCCGTGATATAAAATATCCAGCAAATAAATAGTATCCCTTCAAATATAACACCCCTCAAAGTATAATATCCCGCTAAGTATGGTATCACGTGTAATATAATAACCCGCGATATATACTCTCTTGCTGAATATTGTATCCTTTTAAATATAGCTTCCCGCCAAAAATAGTGTCCCTCTAAATATGGCATCCCTCAAATTTATTGAAAATAAATAAATAGAATCTCGAGTTATTTTTAAAGAAGAGAAATGTCTTCAACAATTACATTTAATTTAATTTAAAATAAATTAAATTTTTTATTATACAAAATATATAATATATTTTTCGATTATTATTTTTACATTTTAAAACAATTAACTGGTTCTAAATATACCAAGTATTTACAAATTAAACAAATATTCACATAATTAAATTATTATAAATTAATAGGTAACATATTATTTTAATAATATATAATTTACAGTGTAGGATAATTTTGTATGTCAAATTAGTCAAGGTTCTAATTATTTGGTGATTTTCCATCTTCTATGGATCTTGAATAAATTATACTTAATCTTTCGTCCATAGGTAAACCTCTCTTTGCTTTTTCCTTTTCTTTTAGATAATATTGTTCAAAGTCATCCCATGGTTGTAATTCGCCGGTTCCAAAGAACCCATATATTACAGATGATGCTGTCATAACTATCATCATAATCCAAAATACTAGACGCCACTCTAAAACGGTTCTCTGAAAAATTACAAAAAAAATTATGTATTATTATACATTTATTTACATCAAGTAGTTGCAAATAATATTGAATCATACAAAATCTAACTATTAAGTATTAACCCTTCGTTAGGTATGCAATATATATATTTTATAACGTCAGTGGTTGCATTGAGTACAATTATTATATGCCAATACTATTTATTTTTTTAAATTACTCAAATCATATTTAATTAATTATCATTATAAATGTAGAACTTAAAAAAATTATCTTTATATTTTATAATATATTAGTGAAAAAATAAATTTGCATTTAAGAAAAACCTATAAATTATAATTTTTATAAACTAGGTATATGTTATTATCTACAGAGTTACAACATTTGAAACATAATAAAGCAACTTTTCAGAGAAATTAATGATTGAGGTAAAAAATATTTATATGTATATTTATACTTTTAAATTGTTCATGTTCATAGGAATCATAAACTTTAAAAAAAAAAGTTATAGGGTGGTTAGTCGTATGTGGAACATTAAAATCTAGTTGACTTTGACAAAAGTATACAAGAGTATGAAATTATTTAATTTGAAAATAAAAATATATAATATTGAGAATATTTATCCGCGAAGAATATACAAAATTTAACAAACATTATTGGTTGTTTGCATTATAAGACCTTGAGGTACAAATTATATACCTAGTACCTATATACCCCATGTGAAAATGTAAATAACTAAGGATAAAAATTATATCATTATTTTAAATCGGTATACATTCTCGAGGATTTAATATTATCAAAAACTAAATTTCAACATGAATAGTAAATAAAAACAAAATAAAACAAATAAATTATGCATTAAGTTATTAACGTAGATACATTATTAATATTAGCGATATTACATATTATAATAAGCCAATAAGTATCTTCTATCTACCATATACTTACATTTGGTGTCAAAATTCCAGCAACGTATGGAGTGGCCATTCCTGATAAACAACCAATGCCATTGACCAATGCCATTATAGTAGGAGAATAATTGGGAGACAAATCAAGTGAATTGATACGAATACTAGGATAACAGAATCCCATTAGTGCCATACCCAAAGTAAAACACAAAGTTGCGATCATTTTGTCACATCCGACAAACGAAGCACACATCACACCCATACCAGGCCCGACAGTTCCTGAAACCAAGTTATTTGTCAGTTCCGCGCATTATTATAAAAGTGATATTTTAATATTCAATCTCACCTATTATAGCGTAAATTTTTCTGACTGCAGTGACAGTCATTATTCGTTTGCTAATCAACCGGTCAGCTAATATGCTAGCTAAGATCGATGTTACCCATTGAGCAATGTATGGAATGGACGACAATAAACCGTTCTGTCAAATAAACATCAACGTTTTAAATTACTACTATGTACAATCTATACTGCAAACCATATCCATTAGGAGTCTCAAATGTCGATTAAACTTACCTCAGTAATGGAAAAGTGTAATACGTCACTCATATATTTAGGAAGATCACTGATAATTGTAAAACCACCCCAATCATGTCCTGCTTCAACAATGATTAGTGCCCATACTGGCCACGACGTTAATATAGACTTCCATGGTGTGGGGGGCAAGTCCTGTTAAAACCAATCAAATAAAAATTATGTCATCTTGAAAACATTGTTATAAAATAGTGACAATATCTTGTTCATTATAACGTTACACGTATTTTTTTCCTTTCTAGACTTCCAATCGACCGTTTTAAGTAGTCACGCTCCATATCCGATATGAACGGGTGGGAGTTCGGATCGTTGTAAACGAACAAGCACCAGAGCACAAACCAAATCAACGAGGTTATGCCAAAGAAGTAAAATACGTTTGGCCAACCACCGGGTATGTATTGTATGATAAAACCACTCAAAAAGTTTGAGAAAATATTACCAATCTGTACACCTGTTAGATACATAGGTTATTAATATCTTTCTAAGTTATTAATGTGTATATTTAATTAATGGTCATTAAAATGTTATTGATAATATATTAAGTTAAAAGGTAATTGTGCGTTTTTTATGTATATAGCATATATTTTACCTGCAAATACCAGCGTGGAAAGCTTTCCTTTTTCTTCAGGCGGGGCCCACTGTGCTAGGAGTGTGCATAGAGCCGGAAACGTAGTGCCCTGGAAAACAATTATAAGTTAGTTGTAACTCGTATTAAAATCTATGACAGTTCCAATCATCATTTTTACTTCTCCGAGTCCTTCGACGAACCGTAGGATGGTCAGTGGTCTGGAACCCATGTATGCAACGTACGGTGTCAGAAGCGTAAAGATTGCAGTGGAAAGTATTCCTAAGCCCATAGTGTGTTTACCACCGAACTTCTGAGACAAGATGCCGCCGGGTAAATGCGTAATTATGTAACCATAATAGAACGCTGACAGGACTTCACCCTGCGTCTTCTCGTCCCAATCGAATCGATCTTGGAACTCATAATCGACCATGTTTGTCTTATTGGACTTTAAGTGGTTATGCGACGATGATTTTGGCATTGGGCAGTAGTCGTGATGAACATTGGATGTTGCACTATTATCGACCACTATCACAGGCCTGACCATTTGCGTAAGCGTTATGCCCAAACAGGCCCGCATTACATATGCCATCGTCACTCCCGTCATCCCCATCACGGCCATCACCCATCTCTGAGACACTTGTCCTGTAATAAAAAAGAATTTCATTCGTCAGTCGATCATTAATTCACTATGTAGAAACGTTTTTTTTTTATATAATCTTAATCGTGATTTTGAAAAAAAAAAAGAATTAATAAGTTCTAGACAGAATGATAGCTTGTGTCGGACACACAACAAGGTTGATATGTCCTGTTATATAGTCGACGAGTGAATGAGAGGTGTTTATATCAAAACTATACGGCTGTTATTATCATTTAGGATCAAGAATAGATTATTGATGTTGACAAAACAGAAACCACCATTTATTATATTGTCGTATACAACAGAATGTTATCATATATTCGTATAGCCTTTATACGTAATATGTTATATAGATACGCAATAGTCTATATTACATTCACTTTTAAATGTTAATAGTTATTATAAATTACTTTGTATTTGAAACACAGTAATAACAACGTGGAACCAACCAAAATGTTAATAAAATATAATTGAGTGATTCAAATATTATATAAATGGGATAAAATGAATAGTGAGACGATATGATTTTATGACTTTTAAAAATATAAATTATTTTATAAAACCCTAATTAGTTATAGTAGGTGCATTATTAATATTAAATAATACATTAATGAAATTATATCTCTAATTTATAAATTTACAATATTACTATTATAGGTATTATGTTAATAATATTATGCATATTTTGAAGTCATACAACTTTAACTATGTAATAAGATAAAAAAAACAATTAAAATTAAATCATTTTAATCGAATGAATTTAATATTAAATTATTATAATGAAAACAATTTATTATTTTCTATAATGATTTATTATACTATCGTATATATTAATTTGTTTGATGTTAATGATTTATGAATTATCATGTACCTACTACCTACAATAAATTAATTAATAGTGTAAATAATTATTATTATAAACAGGTAATTTTTTTTTCGTACTTTGTTAATTGGAAATTTTGCATTAATCATTAAAAATTTTTTATTTGAAATGTTGTAGATAATACTTTTCTTTTATTTGCAAATCTTATGTTAGTTTTTCTTCTTAATTTGTTTAAATATTATTAAACTTATTCTTTTTAGTTTTTATAGGCTTTGTATAATACATTAAGATATTAATTTCAATAAAACATTTTTTTTAAATTTTTGTTTTTACTGTTTTTTTTTCTTCAATAAGTTTAAAAATATCTAAGTTTTCGAGTAAAAATAATAAATAACTGAAGTTCTTTCCTAAAATATTGTATAATATCGTGATGTTAAGACATAAAATCTTATCTAAAAACAGAATATTTGTTAATTTTTATGATTTTATTATTATAATTATTAATAGGTACTTATAAATTATTTAATTGTTTACATTTTTTTATCTATAAATTCATTAATTGTTATTATATTATAAGAACATAATATTTTATTATGCAATAGAAAGCTAAGCGTTTACTTACGTGAATTGAATTTCATATTGGTAGACAGTTAATAGTCGCTTCGGTGTTATTTACGTTATTTACACGGTAGAATTAATTAGGACGGAATTTTCTGAAGATCACCGAGATAAATAGGAAAGACATTTACGAATTAGAAAACATTCACTTGGGTTCTTCTTAGTAGTATTTCATGTACGTAATACCATCTGAGTAAATGCAGTGAATTAAAACAATAATATTAAAAAAATTATACAATAATAAATTTAGATATATTATATATATATATATATATATGTATAATATAAAATATGTTCCCGCGAAATACAACGAATACGTGGACTGTTGCAATCGGCGAAAAAAACGCGACGTCTTCAAACGTAAACTTTCGTCTGAACACTGTTAACTCGTCAGACTGAGACACAACATAACATGATAATGTTACTATGTGATTCGCGTGGAGTGAGTGGGTGATTAAGATGTTCGCTTCTTTTATTGTATTCCGTTGGCCTTATCTGAATATTTATCATTGGATTTATGTTTTGTGTCGATTGAAAGCACATGTTCTTGTTTGTGTATAAATGTTTTAAGAATTTATGATATATAAGGTATTAATTATTATGTTTATTGGCTTCTCGAACAACAGTAGTTCGTAATGAAACGAATAACAAACGTCTTGCAATCGTTGAACTATTATTAAATATTAATTATGGTATTAATAAAATACGTGAATCGCAAATCTAAGAAATTCAATTCAGCGGCATAGCTATGGGGTGGGGGGATGTTGGGGATAGATCCTTACCCAGTGACTTTTTTTTAATGTTTAATGCATTAACGTATACTCGATATAAGATTGTTTGATTATAAAATTACTCATATTATGTTATTATCACAGATATAATATGCAATATTTTATGTTTATCCAATAAGTTATATACCCCCTCCCCTTCCCAAAACAAAACCATAACTACGCCACTGATTCAAATTCACCAAGTGGTTACCGAACAGTGATAATTATAATGGCAACACAAACAACGTGCACGATTCACAATTATTATTATAAGCGGTACGTATTGTATTAAACGGACACACAGGTTCAATAATTGTGGTTCGCATGTTTTTGTTTGTTTGTTTATACGCGCATAAATTTGTGTTATTAATCATTGGATACAGGATAAGTAAGTATGTAAATATATGGCGGGTCATGACTGATGATATATTATAGAATTTTTGGATTTTTCTCAAGGTTTTCGGTTATTTTTTATCGGCAAGTCTTAGCCCATATAACTACAGTCAATAGTACTGTACAGTTCGAAATGCGTATACCATTTTTTTATAGGTAGGTCATGTTATCGATCACTAAGAAATTGCAAGGCTCGGTCAAAAGATTACAGCCACAGATTGCGAGTCGTTAATCATTTACTTTTATATAAAATTAACATTATAATAGCTGGCTTGTGTAGTGAACTCGTCGAAAAATGTAAACCTGTTTATAAAGAAAACGTGTACCCATAATTTATTAATTTTATATTCATCGCTCATCGGATATACTGAAAATGTACAATCAATTTAGTTTCTTTATTTAGATTATCGTGGATCGTTGACCTAACACTATTAAAAAATATTACCTGTCTATTATATTTTAAATTTTAAACGAATTTATGAGTAAGTATACAAAATGTAATTTAAAAAATAATTAAAAGTATCTCATGTCGCTATAAAAATATCAAAATAACCAACAATGTCCAACAACACAATATAATGATTTTAAAATCCAAAATAAGTTTCTTTGACTCAATAAAAACAATAAATATCTGTCGTGTTATACAAAATGTAAATTTTATTTTAAAATATGTTATTTGTGTATGTTGGATGACTACTAAATACATAACATTTTGTGACTTGTGTCGTTTTTATATTTTTATTGAGATTGAGCAATGAGTCGTAAAATAGACACGCTCAAAAGAGCTTTAAGTTTACCAAAGTTTACCAAGAGTAAAATACAGGTTTACATACTTCGGAGGTGTAGTATTCATTGTACTTTTAGCGCTATTTTTACTGTAATTTTCGACAAAATGTCTAGAAAATAACTGTACCTAATATAAGCTAAGTCACAAATGCCCTTATAATAATTTTATTGTAACTATATAATGTCATATTTCAACATAATTTATATTCTATTACATTTTATGCGCATGTATTAAATAATATCACCTATGTAAAAATTTAGGGTTGGAAAATATAATTGACATTTTGGTAAAAAAATTGAAACACTATTTTTATTCATAAAACTTTATTTTAATGTTCATACGCAAAAATAATTGAGAAAAGTTGTGTCTCCAAGTTACACCTTCCATACCACGTGATAATGATGTCAACAACGGGATTGTCTACACTCAAAGCATTTAAAATTAAATTTTGCAATAGTAGTTTAACGAAATTATCAATAACTTATGCTATAAGTGTTCGTGGCCGCTTAATGTATATTATTTAATTGAGACTATACAAGCGTGTTTTTCGTTTCTAGGATTAATGTACAAGTAGTATAAACCACGTGTTTTTCAGATGCATAATAATATCTAAATATACTTATAACCACCTTATTTCATTTTCATTACAATCAGTTCCAATTTATATTTATTCATAAATTTTAGTGAATAAAATCGCAGTATATTGTCAAGACATATTATCCTCCTTCCAACAAATCGTATTACATAATTTATTTTTATAAACTATTAAGTAATAGGCATGTACGTATATAATAATTAATTATTGTACTACGAAATTATTTGATTTTTGTGTCGTTTATATTTATTACTAAGTATCTAGTATCTACTATTTTTTAGAATGTCTAAATAATACAATGTCTTAAAAACTAGTAAGTGCTTACCTAATTATTGCTTTTTATGATAATTTAATTGTTTATAATTTTGATTTACAGATTTTAATTAGCACATTTATATTTTTTTATAATTTGATTCAAATCTAAAATTAAGTATACATTTTAAAGAAAAGTGAGTTATAAATTTCCATAGTGTATTTTAACTGTGTAGTAAATTATACTATAAAAAGTAAATAACACTACAATAAATTAAAATTGTTTTATAATACTATGTATGTAAAATATTTAAAGTAAAATAAATCACAAACAATTTCAATAAATTTGAAAAAAATTGTACTCAGAACTTACATAAATAGCATAAATAAATTTATATTAAGAAGGCAACCGCTCTATTGTACAGTAGATTTTGAATGTACTTCGTCCTTAAATAGGTCACAGTAATGGAATTATAACTTTTAGTTCAATGATAAGATACTGTATTCAATAAAAAAAAAAAAAAAAAAAAAAACGGTTCTAGGCGATGACGGTCTAACTGTTTGATATCGAAGGTTGCTATAGGCTATTAAAGTTTGATTATCTCAATAATATTAGAATTTTAGAAAATACTTATCATACCCCTCACCGATTACTTTTAAAAGTATTAAGAATTCAGTACTTATTAAGCACTGAGTTGAACTTTGACCTCCCAATAGTACCAAATAAATTTAATTTTCTATCAGAAACCTCCCTCAAAATTTATAATAGAAACATTTTTAGAAAAAAGTATTCTATATACAAGAATAAATAAATTTAAAACATTCATCATTTTAAAATTAATACATATCAATAAATAAATCATGATTTTATTATCTACAATAACAAATTGCTTATGATATAAATCCAGCACCACTTGACAAATTTTAAAACTAATATAAACTATTATAAAGTGATTTAAACTATTGTATATTAATTAAACAATAATAATAATAATAAAAAAATAAACAAAATATAGACTTTGAGTTCAAAGTTAATCACTTTTTAACAATGGTTCTATGTTGTGATGCTTACAGTTTTATCAAGTGCGGGTAATAAATTTTATAAAGACTTCTGAAAATCTCAAATACATACTTGATAAAGAAAATTTTAATTTAGCATTATAATTTATTTTTCGTATAAGTTTACATAAACTCAAAAAATAAACCAGGGAAGTCGATTTGTTATTGTTGATTTCTAGTGTACCTCATTATTGAATATGTTACTATAATGAATACATTTAATTATATTAATAATAATTTTAATAAAAATAAAATATGAACTATAATAATAATAATAATTAATAATAAAAAAATATTAACTATAATAATAATGATAAATAATCACACACGAAAAATTATTTTGAGTGGAAATTGTGTACTATATAATACGTGCATACATAAATATCACTATTAGTAGGTATTTGATATTTTTTTTTTTTTAATTTTTTTTTATTTTATATTTACAATCTGTTGCATAAAATTGAACAATAAGTAAAATAGATAACTGAATAGAAGTAAGTGGCTTAGAGAATGGAGAAGCCTTCCACTGAAGACACTTGGACAGCTATTTACATACGTTTTTTATGAATTTACAATGAAATAATAATAAGCAATTGTCTAAATTAATAGGTCCCGACACCACCGCCGTTTTAGCCTTTTCCTAGGATTGTCGGGTATGTTTGTCAACGCAAGTTCTTTGATTAGGGGATTATCGTGGTTCTTAGCAGTTAAATTAAATCGTCTATAAAAAGTTCTAGCTACATCACAGACGGGTGGGATGGCAAGATCGTTATGTAGGGTCTGGTTGGATACGTAAAAAGGGGCTTTGGTTATGGCACGGAGCGTTTTGGATTGGAAGCGTTGAATTCGGTTTGTGTTTGAAATTTTTGCAAAAAAAAAAAAATTAATTTAAATTAATTTTAAATTTTTTTTAAATTTTTTTTTTTTTTTTTTTTTTTTTTTTTTTTGGTATTTGATATAAATTTAAAAACATCATTTGCGGTGTATTATTATATTATTTTATATAATAATTATTATTGATATTTACTTATTAAGTTATTTCTATTATTTTATTTATTATTAAGTTAGTACCATACTACCATGCGTATTAGAATAGTTTTAATCGGTTCATAGTATAAATAGGTAGTTTAAAATTAAATACCATATTACTAAAAAGTACCTATGGCTAGTATTTTTTGAATCTCCATAAAATAACTAAAACCACTTATAAAAATTTTATTTTTAGGTATATTGAAGTCAGGTTTTATTAAAACTGATATTTCATAAGTAGATATTTTATGTTTCTGTGATTATTTTTAGTTTCTTTTTACTGTTTTAAAAAGTACTTGTAATTGTGTTCACTCATTAATATAGGTATAAAATTCCATTTTCTTCTAAAAACAAGATTTAACAGAGTGCTACCAATACCCCGATGAACTTAAAAAATGCAACATATCACCCAACATGTAAGAAGCATTAGGACCAGGCACTGAAAATATTTCAAATATGTTAGCTTTCCAAAATAAGACCGACCTTTAAAATAAAATTTAAATCTTCTATTAATGATAACTATAATATTAATGTTAGTAGTAATTACATATAATAAACAACGTATTAATAAT